CGCGGGGCCGTGCAGCTGCCCCGCGAGGACGGAGGTGGCGCGGCGGATGCCCGCCTGCTGGGCCGCCCTCCTGCCAGCTCTGTCGCCTTGGCGTACTCCCTCCGCCCGCCTCCCTCCGGAGAGCGGCGCAGCGGGAAAGCAGGCAGCGGAGCACACGGCATCTTGATTTTTGGCAGACTGGGGGCTATCCCTGCTCTAACGGGGGCAGTGGGGACGTCACTCCAGGGCCGGACAAGCCTTCGGTTTTATTAGAAAGCCTCTGCTGGGCGAGGGGTAACAGGAGTAACGGGGCGAGAGGTAAGCAGGCCGTTTTCCTAAAGGACGAGGCGAGAGAACGGGCCCGCAGAAGCTTCATCCTTGCGAAACACGGCGGCACGGGCTGCACGGGCTGCCGCTCGCCCCTCACCTGCGCAAGCGGAGGCCGGACACCTCACGATGCACTTTCAACCGGGGTACTTAAAAAACAAAAACGGCTCCCTCACAAATCTTTATCGGCACACACACCGAGATCCTCTCCCCTGCCCAGGTCAGTCCGTGCCGCGGGGCTTGGAGCAAGGCTGGCCGGCCCGGCTCGCTCCTCTACACCCTCGGGGCCACCCGCTCCCGCAAAGGGACCACACGAATCGGCCCTGGGTGGACGGAGATTTACTCCCTCCTCCGGAGGAGGCTGGTCCGTTAAAGACTGGTCCTTGGGAGCCGCGGCGAAAGAGATGCCCGGCGCTGAACCGACTTGGAGGCGAATTCTTCCTAGCGGCAGATTAGACCCCGCGCAGCGTTCGAATGGATGATGCAGGGCGAATCTCTTAGTTGCCGGGAAGAGCCAGCAAGGCTGCTACAGGATTTGTCAACGTCTTGCTGCACAATCAGCTGGATCGGTGATTTCTGTCCAGCTGCTGAGGAGTCGGAGGCCAAGAGGCCACGATGTGCTAAAAGGCCCGGTTGCCAAATCTCCGAGGACTGCTCAGGCATCCCTTGAATCCAGGCCTGCGCCGAGCCAACCAAACCATTGTGCCTCTCTTGGGCAACATCTCCCAAAAAACGGATACTAAACCTCCTGTCTGACCTAATTCCTCCTTCAGTCTGGCCTTCATTACAATTTAATATGAACAGAACAACGTAGGAGGGAACTGAC